GGGTTTCCGGTCCTTGGTGGAAGATATCTCAGATTGGATTCCACCAAATAATCTGCAAGCGAGTGTTTGATGAGGCAGCGAATAATTTACTCGGCACTGCAAGCTGCAGCAACCCGGCAGCGCATTGCGCATTTTCCGTTTTTGGCCACCTGGGAGAACGACTTTGTCCCAGTTCATATTGATGAAAACTTTGAAACGGGCAAAGCATAGCCAAGTAGAATAAGAGTGATTAGGTCTGTGGTGTCCATGATGTACGACGTGACCCATGTGACCTTTTTGGTTGGCTGGGCCACAGAAGTGGCTGTATACAAATCGATGTCAGCGACTTTCGTGTTTTCATTCCCTCTCCAACTTGTGTGGTGACGGTTGTAGGGAGCGTTCATAGTGTCTTATTCTTTTTAGGAATTGTCCGCTGTATAGTGCTGCTCAACTTTTCACAAAAGGCGAACACCAATCGCAAGACTAAACTCAATGAAATTTCAAAACTTCTTACTGCTATCAACCACTGCGAGTAATCTGTATTTTACTGAAAAACGCGTCGCATATGTCATTCGAGAAGACTACTCGAGGAGCTAGTCAACACATGATCGCATGGTGTGGATTGCATGAATGAGGGATAATTGGTTTAGTACGTTATTTAAATGCGGGTGTAATGAAAAAATCATCATTTATAACCGGATGGTGGAGCGTTCAGTTACCAACCAGAAGGTGCGAGCCCCCCTTGAGATTTATCAGTTACATGCTGCTGGTGAACTGCGACAAGAATGAAACAGCTGTACAAGGCCTCCCAGTTTTTCACAGTGATTTGACCTCTCTTGTACGACAGAGTCACGACGGAATTTTCAACATCTCATATTATGAACCAGCAGTCGAACGAGGCCGGAACACGTTTCCTGAAAGGATGTTACGTTGTTGTCTTGTGACCTCATTTTTCACCACACCGACCCATTTTGTCGCGGGCTGATGATCTTGTGATTTTTATTTACTTTTTTACATCGGGGCTTCTTTTCGTGGCCCGTCAGTAGCCGAAACGAAAAATTCCCTGTGCATGTGAGTGTGTTTACGGGTCAAACCTGATTTTGCTTCGGAGGCTTGCTGTCCTGCCATGAATACCTTCATTTGTGCATGGCAACGCCTGCTTCAAGCATAATGCTGTTCTCGTTTCTCAGGGGTTTGGTAAACAATCGGTGGATTTACCAAACCCCTCTGAAACGATAACTTCCCAATCGGTCCCAAACATTTTCCAATTGATTGAAAATAATCCTGTTCTCTTGGATTGGATTTCAAATGCCTGTCGGTTCGGTTTATTTGCAAAATGTTCGCATCAGCCAATGCATAGTATCTTTCTTGGACTTTCTTACTGTTGGGATGAAATGACACAGTGGTCACTCAAATGGAGGTTGTGATAAAAGAAGCTGGCAAACATTTGTCCTCGTTTTATGTTACCAGCTATTGGCCGTAACCCAAAGTCCCCGAAGCAGGTTCGAGCAAAGCAGAATGGGCTGGTTAGAAAGGGTGAAATCAGGAAATTGAAGCCTGGTAATTTGCAGAGTTGATCGGAATACCTGAGAGGTAAACTGAACTTCTAAACACGGAAACCTTTACTTTTTTTCCGACATGTGTCCCTGCACAACAAGCCAATGCAGTTAGGACGGTTTGCAATGCACTGTGACTCGACAGCGATCACTGCCTGAAACTTAGGATAGGAAACCTAATTTAACGTGTGTCGTCAGCTGGTATGTTATAGGGTAATAGAATACTAAGTTGTTGAAAAGAATGACCTTTTCACGTGCCTATTGACATCTCTCCAGCGTACAATAAGAACAGTGCCAAACGCAGGATTTGAGTTTGAAGTTGGGTGTCCCCAATGATCAATGAAACGACCAAGTTTTTGGAGATAGCACCGCTTTATGACGGAACTTCGGTTCAGGAGGACACTTCGTGACTGGGCCTTCTACCCGTTTCTAGACACTAGTTGGAATTTGATTCTTGATGATAACAATGAACGACAGCTTCTCTTGAACCGTTCAAACTTTTGGTTTTACGATCACGTGAGAATCGAAAGACCCAAGGGAAGTGGTGCAACATCAGGTTCGTATTGCGACCGAGCGAAATGTTCGTCGTCACATGACTTTTCTCCCAACGAGAACGAATTTCAAGTACCCCGGAAAGCCCGCATACACCACTCTTGTTTATAAGTAATTAATTCTGAGGAGTAGAAACAGATGTGCGTGGCAGTCGGTAACTTCTTTGACAGCCTCACTAAGGGAGCGAGATAGTCAAGTGGTTAGAGCGCGAGTTTACTGACCGGAAGGTCCGTGGTTCGAAACCGACCTCTGCCTTTCAACTTCCCCTGTCTAGGCTTGGGCAACCTGGCAGTATCCCAGCCCTCGTGCATCCTTCGGGTGGCATGGCAGCTAAGCACCGAAAGGGTGTTACAGCTGTTACAGCTTTTATCTTATCAGCCTCACTAAGCTGTTTTGCGTGTGTGTACTTTGCGAATTCCAGGAGCACCTTTGTCCACGGAAATGAGTAACGATGGCTGTTAAGTAAGACCACTGGGACCCTCAAAAATGACTCTCCTGACTCGCCTTCATGCTGTGAGGGTTTCATTCGCCACATTCAGTTACACTTCGTCATAAGCAGACAGTTCCATAAGTTACACTCTTCGCACTGATGTGTAGAAATTTCCCACCCCCTTCAGATTTGAACACGAGGTACCTTTTGAACAGCAGTTTCTGCCAATACCACCTTTGGGTTCCACGATTCCCACACATTAAATTTGTGGATTGTTCCGTCTATTGTTGCCTAGTTACTATACTATACTATACTATACTAAACTACCCTACACTACACTGCTACACTGTGCTATAATTACTGCACCGTGCCGTGCTGTACTGTCCTGCTATACTACACTATGCTATACTAAACTGTATTACATTGTCATCTCCTGGCTGATTTTTATCCATTTGCTGCTCCCAATCCTGCATGAGAGTCACTCGAATTCGGCACACAATCTGACGAGCAACAACGTGTTCCCAATCTGCTCTCCTGGTCAATTCAGAAAGCGGGTTTATAGAACCAAAAGCAGGGCAAAGATAAAGTAGAGTTCGAGTGAAAGTTTGGAAACTCCGTACATCACAAGTGGTTTGCTTGAGCAGCCCGTGGTCACGTGCGCAAATTCTGGAAGTCCCGATGCGTGTATGGACGCTTTATGCGCGAATCGCCTCAGATGTGACCAGACGTTAATATTTGACGGATCACGGTCACGTCGTTTGTATCAGCCGATTGAGCGACCATTGTGTCGTTAACTGACCTCGATTCGGTTGTTCCTTTATTGTCTTGCATAACTGCCGTGTCGTGCACCCTGCCATAGAGCTGCAGGTGGGAAAGTAGACTAACATACCTTGGACGCGGACTGGCAGCTTCTCTTCGAGATTTAAGGGCATCAGCTGAGTAGTTGTGAACCACACATGGAGTGAAGTGGTCAGGACGGTCTGTTACGACCTCCCGTTATCTGGACCCAATTCTGACCCCTCCCAACTTGGAACTCTCAGTCTTGGAATTGTTCTACTCAAATAGGTACTGCATGCACTGAGATTGTTGAAAGTGAGCTCTCAGAGCGTAGAACAATCACACATGATACAGGGATGCCATCAAAATCGAAGCGATTTTTCGACTACTGAACTCCGTCACTTCGACACTCTTTTCACCATACTCGCAAATAAACCAATATCCAATGAAATACAGTTGTTTTCAAACTTTCATTATTAACGAGAGACTACTGAATCCATCACCTATGAGTAGTGTGTTTTGTCGGGAAATACCCATGTGTATTTTTTGCAATTTCTCCTTAGTGTAGGCCCTCAAGTCCCGGGTCATTCCGCTTCGTCCCCTACTCTCTCACTCCCGACTTTCCAGACATTCTCGATGGAGGTCATTGTCGGATTGAAAACCGTTCAACCCAATGAATATATTGTACCGTATAATGATAGGGAAAAAACATCGGCCATTACGTAGGAACGTACCATCAGCTTCCTCTTCTGTACTCCCAAAAACCTACCTTCGCACAGAGTGACCCCCCCTAACCCATTGGGGAACCCCTTCTGGACACTCAAACGCCTTTCTTCTTTCCTGAGTTGACAATAACATGCTCAGCCGCCTGGACAGTCCAGACTGAGTATCCAACTTTCTCACTTATGTCTTAGCTGAGCAGTGATAAAGTCTCTTTGACTGGTGATCAAACGTTTTCAACCTAAAAGTTTAGCTTGGTGAACAAACCAACAACCATCAGTACACGCTCCCCGGCTACCAATATTTGGATACATTATCAGGAACGTTGGTGTAGTTCACCCTACCGCCAACGGTTGTCCTGAGCTTTGACAAAAACTTGGCCATTCTTTAGAACCACACACGTGGATTCGGTGGGGTTGAATGATAAGGTAATAAGGCTGAAGTCGCACACCGTTTGGTTGATTCTGATAATTTAGTTCACACACACATTGTTATATGTGAGGAGAAACGTCAACACTTCAAGGAACGCGTGAAACAAGTGATAATGTTGGATTGATACACGGACGGACGGATGGTCACAGAGACGGTGAGTCATCTAGCCGCGCACTGATTCCTAAACGAATGGTTTCGTCTCCTTCTAAATGGTGGCCCACAGGTCAGTCTGTCTCAAGCGAATTTGGAGATCTTAGTCCCCGGGCCTCGCCAAATTTGCACTGGGCTTCGATATTTTCGTTTCAGAAACCAAACTATCCTAACAGCGCTGGTAATTCCAACTCATTTCAGTCTAGAAGTCTTTCCGTACCCCCGCTGTCCCAACAGTACTCTCACTTGTCTCGGTCAATTTTCAGTTTTACGACACAGAATCCGATTAGATCTGTCTGTCGTACCGTATCGATTAAAATCCGCCTGCGGCGCTGATTTCATCCGGCTGCTCGTTCACGTGATTGGATAGAATTGGTGCGGCACAGTCGCCAAAACGTCACGTGCACACTGTAATATAACGCTTGTTGTGCACTGTCAATTGTACACTGTTTACAACCGTGCAGTGTGCGGGGACCCTGTGTTGATTTCACGGACATAAGGAGCAGTCTAAAGCACCTACAGCAAAGCATTTATTATTCCGTGTCATGTTATAACATCGTGCGGAACATTATATTTCAGCCGACCAACAGCAAGTCTGAGGTCGTCGCATTTATTGGTATTTTCCTTCCTGCGATGTGCATGCCGCATGGAGTCAAGATCATTTGTCGTGTCCAGTAGCTTGGGACGAAATTCCGAGCGACGTTCTCGGGGACCTCGGAAGACAGAACATCTGACAGAGAAGCCGAAATGGTACGAAGCGCATCGCCAGGCCATAAAAGTGAGTAGTATTGATTTGGCCCCTTAATTTGTTGTTTTGGTCCTCATATCTTCTTGCACAGTTGGAACAAACTGGTTCAGACGCCGACAATGTACCTGGAAGTATTTTTTTTAACTGATTTTGAGTCAAGGTTACTTTGTAGTGACATGTGTGCGTTAAATTCCCCACGGATAGTGACTCAGTGGATCTGATATTATCAAATAACTTTTCATTGCAGGACTAGATCTGTCATGAATTCCAATACCTGACTCACGGTATGCTTAGCTCAGCTTATGACGAATTGTCGATACACCCAGTGGGGAATAGAAATGGACAGATTCAACTTCGAATGGTCACTCGTAGACACACGTTTAATGAGATATCGAGTCTTCTACGCGTTATCGCTAGTATAATGACCTAATGATATATCTTCGCAATTAAATGGCAGAAGTTAGCCATTTTGATGACATCTCTTCCTCCGTGGCAGCACAAACAGGAGACCTACGTGGATCCGGCGACAGGGTTCCTCGTATTCACCGAACTGGCACATTTGGAACGCGGCTATTGTTGTGGACACCGCTGTCGTCATGTGAGTTTTTTTTTCAATTCGACCGGTTGTCTTTCTTCAGTCTGTAGTTTCTTTCACTTGAATTTTGAAATTACAACCCAGACTTCAGTAGAGTAAAGAGCCCAGAAATACTTTACGACCGCCTCAGTTCTGTTGAGAATCGCTTCCGGAGAGATGAAAAATTGCGAATGTTCGTCCAATAGTAGTCTAAACCGCACTACTCATCCACGAATGATCGAACGGAAATGTCACCACTAAATTGCACCTGGACGGATTGGGTACCAACATTCTTCAGTTATGTAGTTGGGATCCCGTAGTCCGGTAGTGACTGTCCCCTAGCACGACGGATTATTGGATGATAGGACTAGGCGACATTGGAATACGCCCACTATCTGACTTTCAGTGTCATCATCCTCAAAGACAGCAACATCAGAGTTGGCACTGATGCTTCACTGCCGTACAACCGTAATGTTCGTCTAGT